CGCGAGGTACGAAGAAGATGTTGCCGCCACAACGGACATGACTGACAGGGAGGCTCTAATGGGGGCTCTGTCCAGCATGAAGAAAATTACCCCCTTTAAAAGAGACCTGAACTGGAAGCCCCCATTGACCTATAAAGAATTCCTAGCGTGAGCGCAGGGATACATTAATGTCGAGGAGGCTGACGCTAACGACCTTGAACACCGATCCAATAAGAATAAAAAATCAGAGCAAGGGTCGACGCCAGCAAAACATGATGGAAAGAAACGCCAGGGGGGGGGGGATGGAGACAAACAACCTGCCTCAACGCCAAACCCGCTAGAAGCCAAAAGGCTGAGGCAAGAAAAGAACCAGAAGCCTCGACCGTTCCAGAGGTATGACTCATACCATGAACTAACGATGGGAGTCAAGGAAGTGTTTAACCAGGTCGATCGCAGGAACTTACTGTGCCGACCAGAACCGATGAGGTCGGACCCTCGCCGAAGGAACCAAAATAAATTCTGCAGGTTCCACGGCGATGTCGGACACCACACCAACGATTGCGCCGATCTTAAAGATGAGATCAAAAGGGTAATCCGTGAGGGAAGGCTGCAGGAGTTCAAGGCTAAATGGAGACCAAGAAGCGATGGCCATGGCGGCCAAAATGACGGTCGACGCCGAGAGGAGCCCCGGCGTCCCGAGGAGTGAAAACCTATCGGCGTCATACGAACTGTCCTCGGCGGTCCGTATATTGGAGGAGACTCAAGAAGGTCTTAGAAAGATTACGCCCATAAGGCTAGAGGGGTGTACCAAGAGAGGTTTTGGAGTATCTCAAATGCAAAGGCAGCCAAATTCAGCAATATTGACGTAGCATTCAACGATGAGGATGCAAATGGGGTCCATTTCCCCCACAACGACGCCCTGGTGGTAGAAGCAATCATCGGGAATCACACCGTATGCAGAATCCTCGTGGACAACGGAAGCTCGGTGGACCTCTTATACTCCGACTGTTTAGAAAAGATGGGAATTCCTATAGAGCAACTGGAGAAGACCACTTGACCGTTGTATGGATTCACAAGGGACTCTGTTATCCCCTAAGGTACAATTCAGCTGCCAATAACCACTGGGGAGAAGCTTCGACAAGCCATGACAATGGCCAACTTTGTGGTAATAAAAGGGGGCTCACAATATAACGCCGTCATTGGGAGGCCAACCCTCCAGGCACTGAGGGCAATAACCTCCATCTACCACCAGAAGGTAAATTTCTAACACCACTTGGCATAGGTGAGATGAAGAGTAACCAATACGAGTCTAAGGTTGCATACTCAGATGCCCTGAGAGTGTACGACCAACCAGGAATTGAGGAATCCAGGATGGTCCATTAAGGTGCCATTGAGGACATAGACCCCCGAATCCAAGAAGAGGTCGCATGGTCCCAACCTATCGAGTAATTGGTGGAAATCCAGGTGGATGAGGACGAGCCAACAAAGGTACTGAAGATATGCTCGGATTTGGCTCCGGCGCTCAGGGTTGAGGTCGAGGGATTCCTCAAGGAGAACCTGGATGTGTTTGCCTGGACCTATGCCGATATGAAAGGAATCGACTCTGAGGTTATATGTCATACTCTAAACATCGACCCTTCATATCCCCCCAAACGCCAGAAGCGCCGACCAATGAACCCGGAGAGATATGAAGCGTTAAAAGAAGAAGTCGACAAGTTGATCAACAACGGCTTCATCAGAGAGGCCCATTATCCTAGATGGGTTTCGAATCCCCTTTTGGTCATTAAACATAACGGAAAATGGAGGATGTGTTGATTTTAGCGACTTCAACAAAGCATGCCCAAAAGACGGATTTCCTCTTCCCCGAATCGACCAAATGGTCGACACCATAGCCGATCACGAAACGTTGAGTTTCATGGACACCTACTCAGGATACAATCAGATCCCCATGCATCCATCTGACGAAGAGCATACGTCATTCATAACCGATAGAGGCCTCTATTGTTACAAGGTAATGCCCTTTGGCTTGAAAAACGCAGGGGCAACGTACCAGAGACTAGTAAACAAAATGTTTGCTAACCAAATCGGAAGATCGATGGAGGTTTACGTCGATGACATGCTGGTAAAATGCGCCAAGGCTGCT